ATTATGTATAGGGTTACACTCTACAATAGATGTAATATAATGTATGAGTCACACTCTACAATAGATGTAATATTATGTACAGGGTCCCACTCTACAATAGATGTAATATAATGTAGGGGTCACACTCTACAATATATGTAATATAATGTATGGGTCACACTCTACAACAGATGTAATATTATGTATAGGGTCGCACTCTACAATAGATGTAATATTTTGTACAGGGTCACACTCTACAATGGATGTTATATTATGTATAGGGTCACACTCTACAATAAATGTAATATTATGTATAGGGTCACACTCTACAATAGATGTAATATAATGTATGGGTCACACTCTACAATAGATGTAATATTATGTAAAGGGTCACACTCTGCAATAGATGTAATATTATGTATAGGGTCACACTCTACAATAGATGTAATATTATGTACAGGGTCACACTCTACAATAGATGCAATATTGTGTATAGGGTCACACTCTACAATAGATGTAATATTGTGTATAGGGTCACACTCTACAATGGATGTTATATTATGTATAGGGTCACACTCTACAATAGATGTAATATTATGTAGAGTGTGACCCTATACATAATATAACATCCATTGTAGAGTGTTACCCTATACACAATATAACATCCATTGTAGAGTGTGACCCCATACACAATATTACATCTATTGTAGAGTGTGACCCATACACAATATTACCATCTGTTGTAGAGTGTAACCCATACATAATATTACATCTATTTTAGAGTGTGACCCTATACATAATATTACATCCATTGTAGAGTGTGACCCTATACAATGGATGTTATATTATGTATAGGGTCCCACTCTACAATAGATGTAATATTATGTATGGGTTACACTCTACAACAGATGGTAATATTATGTATGGTTCACACTCTACAATAGATGTAATATTTTGTACAGGGTCACACTCTACAATAGATGTAATATTGTGTATAGGGTCACACTCTACAATGGATGTTATATTGTGTATAGGGTCACACTCTACAATAGATGTAATTGGGCCGTGAGTGAATGTAGGCAGATACATGTCCCCAAATCGATGAAACAAGTCTAGAATTATATGTTTATACTTTGGGTATATTTGTAGGTATGAACTGAGCTTCGCCCTTTCCCACACCCCTCCCGTCATTCGAAATAGAAAAAAAAGGTAACCAATGTTATACGTCTGTTACGATGACGTTAACGTCTTTACCAACAAACACCGACGGGAATTATAGGGTATAGTGTGATATCATAGAATGCAATGCAGTTCATAGGGATATACAAGTAAATAAACATCAGTATTCTTTGAAACTACGGGGCGAGGTGTTCCGAATGGACCATGAACCAACAACCTTCCGAATGGATACCACGGTGGGTTATATTGTCAAGCGGAACACCCTAAAGAACAAGAAGAAACAGAGGGAGTGAACATGTTCACTCCAGCCGGTCCTGCCGTCTAATTGAGTGAAAACAATATCTGTCATCGTCAAAATTAGGCAATGACTCCTGTATGGTCCGACCGTCACATGGCGTCTTACAGTAAATGACTAATACACGAATAAAAGTAGTCACAGACCATTGATCAAGTCAATTATAGATCATTGAAATGTATTGATGATATTGACTATCGAGTTTTAGACCAATACACACATGGAGAGCAGTGGCGCGTGACCCATTACTATGTACCCTGCGTAAACAAAACGTTTTGGATGGATTCCAAATACATTTTTTTCCACATTGGTATGTGATGATATTTAAAATATGACCTACCCAGATCTTGTTATGGTGAACTTATCCAGATGGTTGAGATTTTTTCTCTTAAACGAGTGATTTAAACGTATTTTATGATGCATTAGAAACAATTTTTAACAATTGAGTGCATTTACTCCAAATAAACATATTACCAAAATACATTAATAGCACGTGATATACAAATTATATATATACAGAAACAAAATAGTTGTGGACATAACAAGATATATATCAACATTAACAAGGCAAAGTATTGCCAGGCTATTCATAGTCCTCCTTCGGTAATAATGTCTATATTTAACAAACAGTTCACTTAGGTCAGGATGTACTTACTGTTAGTTAAGTATCTTGATACATAATATACCATTAAATGCATCTTTGTAATGGTAAAATGGATTTCTTGCAAACAGAAGTTTGCAATAATGTTTTATGAAGGAAATCTGGTTACTCCAGGTGGAATAGTATAGAAGATATGCCCGGACAAACATTTTCAAAAGTGAAGGTCAAAGGTCAAGTCATAGGACACACAGTGACCTAATTCTTGCAATCTGCAATCATGTACACCAAATTTGGTTACTCCAGGTGAAATAGTCTAGTAGATATGCTCCGGACAAACATTTTCGAAATTTAAGGTCAAAAGTGAAAGCATAGGTCACAGTGAGGTCATAGTGACATTCTCTTTGTACTCTGCACTCCGCCATCCGAAGATGTCCTTGTACACCAAGTCTGGTTACTCCAGGTGAAATAGTTTAGAAGATATGTCACGGACAAACTTCTCGGACGGAAGGACGGACAGACGGACTGACTGCAAACCTATATCTGCTCACAAGAGAAGATAACTCTGCAATACGCAAAGACGGAATAGGAATCGAACACTAGGGCTAACAACGAGATCCATAACTTGTAAATAAGAGACAAGACTGAAAACGGCGGGGAGAAAGCTGAGGTATGTCACACAGAAAATGTGTTACTTTTCCTGACAAAAGTCAGATAAACTCTGAAGACATATGAGAATGGCACCGTAAATAATATTCTAAAGCTATATGGGTTGGGCACCGTCAATTTTACTCTGAAGTAATATGGGTAGGTGTGTCAATTTTACTCTGAAAACGTCAGCACGGGACTGTCAATTTTACTCTTTATGTGATGTGGATGAGAGAATGTTAGTTTAATACTGGAGGCATGTGAGTGGGGTCATTGTTTCATGTATAAAATTAATAAAATGTAACATCGTTACAATCAAAACATACTATTTTCAAAATTATTTGCCATAATGATGAATTTATTGGATAAATGATACTTGTGTTTCCATAGTTGCGAGCTGTTAAGACCCTCTTAGGCAAAAAAGAAAGCTATACAAACTCGCCAACCCAACGCAACCCATCGGTGATGTTACGGGCTAAAAGGTTGAACACCCAAACAGGTCTAAGTATATATAACCCCTTAATTTATGATTTTCAAAAATGTAGAGTACCGATTTATTTCAAATTAATAAATGTGTAAAGTATAAAACTCAGATCCGGTTATTGTGCAGAAGCTGCATTTTTGTATAATATCGACATTATCGTTTGGCTTTGTAACCTCAAATGCGGGACACTCTAGCTATATATATAGAAGACACAAGTGTATGGTGTAGGGACGCTAGTATCACCAAGATATACTGAAAATGTACATTGTATCGACATCGTGTACAATGACCGACCATGACAACCATGAAAATTACCCTCACTTCATCAAGTTATTTATTATTATGTAAATTCTTTGATTATACTTGCATCATAATATCAACAATCGGGGAATGGATTACTGATAGAATACGAATGGATTACTGATAGAATACGAATGGATTACTGATAGACTACTGACTGCTGTTAAACTAGCCTACATTTTCGTGTACACAGTGATCGGGTATGTTTATAATACAAAATGTAAACAACGACTTGAGGCTTTATCATCATTATTCATAGCTTCTGGGACAGTCACATGTACCGCCAGTGATCCGATATGTACTGACCGCAATACAGCCAACTGTACATGTATATATGTTAATGAGACTTTACATTGTACCACGTGATCAGTTAGTGAAGCCACGTAGCCAAGCGGTGGAAAACCCAACAATCTATTTTTATAACATTACTCAAGTCTGTATATATAGACGATACGACGGCCTGGGCTATTTACAGATATTGCACAACACGCCCTAGTTAGATGATTTAAAAAAATAAATATATGTTTACAAAGTATACGTGTATTGTGAATATGCTGATGAAATTGTTGAAGGGCAGGTGACTAATTTAAGAGCGAAGTAATGTTGTAATCTATGATAGATCTTTCCAGTTTATGATTAAGTTTCACATTGCAATTACATTCAAATAACTTTTGATGTCAAACAAGTCACATTTCTGTACCTGTTGTCCAACATTTGTAGGTACATGTATACAATTATAATTAAAACCAACGAACAGGAATCAGACAGTTAATGATTACATATTGGTATCAACTCACCTGCTATGCACATCTTTACTGTATTGCGTATAAATGGATAGCACTAGAACTAAATAGTTTATTCGAAATCACGACTATCTGGTATTTTCGTTGAAACAGTTTTTGAAATTGAATTATTTCAATAAAGACAAAAAAAAATGGAATATTCACTTAAAGTTTCTATTTCTTTCAATTGGTATGTTTCCTAACTTACCTGTCCATATATTGGCAGGTGTGCAATGGCTACCTTGGAAACGAGGTCCTAATTGTACTGAACCATGAATGGATGGTCTGATCACCCCATTCTACTACAGCTAGTATTAGTCTGTGAGTAAGGGCGCACGCGGCAATGAGTCATGAACTATAGCCTCTATACCTGTTCGTTCCACGCTGTTCGAACTGACGAGATATAAACGACGGCCACGTGGTCCTATGTTTATTTACATATTAATCGTTATACGAGAATTTAAGTCCAACACTAAATAAGTGAGAAACTAATTTGTATCATCTCTTTTCTTTTTTATTTCAAGGATAATTTTGATTTTGTGCATTTGATTTTTTAAATTTTATTCGATGACATTACTTTTAATTTAAAGCTCAGTGGCTAGGGGGTCTAGCGAGTCAAACCGGCATGCATTCTTATGTAAATGAGGACGGCCATCTTGCCCTAATTCATGACGTCAATACTCAGTCACATGAGTGTGTCGTCATCTAAAAATAGAAATCCAATCCTGAGTATTTAAGCTTTAGCTGCGGTATGTTGTTCGCATTTCCATGACAGGCACGGTAAGAAACAACGTCGATCTGTTTTATTATTTCACAACCGGCCTGCAACGTTTTACTACCGGTGTATACAGCACATGTATGAAGGATTTTACACTCATACACCAAATACAAATCACCTACTTCACCTGACAGTGTGAGGTAAGTGGTATTATTAACAATTATACTTGTCAGTAGTATTGTCGCCGAAAAATATCTCTGTTTATTTTGCACATGTGTTTGTAAACAAACACGACATTCCGCCTGTGATGATAGGCACGCGCAGGAAAACTGTGTTGTTTGTAATGTCGAAGCAGATTACAGTATTTTACTCCATGTTAGAGTGTATTGAATGGAATCTATGTATTATTTATCTGTTGTTACTCGAGTAACGCTAGTGACAATGCTTGTCTTTGATCTTCTGTATTGATTATTGGCGCGGGGGCCCTTGCGGTAATTATAATAGCATATCTTCACAGCTCGCCACTATGGAAAGACAAATATTATTTATCCAATAAATTCATCATTATTGCACATAATTTTCAAAAGAGCATGCTTTGATTAAAACGATGTTACATTTTATTAATTTAATTTTGATACGACATTGCATGCAATGAATTTTAAGGTGTTTTAACAAATATATACATTTTATGTTTGCCTTGTTGAAATGACCCTAGTCCATGTATATACGGTCTATGCAATGTTTACCCCTTGTTTATTAGCCGTGTTAGAGTACATGCTTATTGATTGTTTTTCAAACGTTTCCCCGACGTCGCTATTTCATTGATAAACGCTTACGATGCAATTTACAATGGAATGCGGTTAGAAGGAGTGTCCTGTTGTACTGTCGTGACAGAAACACTACGCTTCTCTGATTTTATAGGCTGGTAAATTTTGTTGGTTTAAACTTTAATATTTATAATAATCATTGAATTTAATCCTGTTTATTTTTTCGGTTCATAGTTTGAAATATCTCGGTTTAAGCGCTTACTCGGGTGGGTAGGGTATGTACATACATATACCTGTACAATAATACTTTTATTGATTTTCCCTCAACGAATGAACCGGATCACTGGCTGTTTGTATTTAATATTATACACATACATTGATTCTTGTCAGGTGGTAGAGCGTTAATCTATAGTCAGTCTGTATATTGTTTGAGTTTTAACCATTTTTTAAATGTCATGGGATCCGTGATACATAGGTACTATGTATATCACAGAGGTTTATGCAGATTTGATTGTTGTCTAATTTTTCAGTGCCAAATCAATGTTTTGAGTTTTCATGGACGCATAAATAAAGTATTTGTAATTTGTTGTATATAATATAATATAATTTTGGTTCATATACAAGAGAACGGAATCGACATTCACTGTATATAAAATAGCACTTTACATGTAGGTGGGAGGAAATCAATTATGTAATGATCATAAAAAGTACAGATTTAATACACCTGGGCCTGTCGCGTGAGAACGTTACTTGGAAGTGTCGCTCATCCTGAAGAAACGTTTACCAGTTCCGTTTTCTTGTCCAGCCGTACACCCGGCTTACATATATATTATTAACTTATCATCAGATTATGATGGTACCGAATGGATAAGTGTAAACATTGAAGCAAACGTTTTACTTTACTACAGCACAGAGACTTTTGTTTAATCCCCCAATCGGCTTCCCAAACTGTTACAATTGACAACCTTCTAAAACAAGCAAATCGGTGAGAGCCTTCTGTAGCACATGGCTTTTAAACCTAGCCAATCAGTGAAAGCCTTCTATAACACATTTTACAACCTAGCCAATCAGTGAAAGCCTTCTATAACACATTTTACAACCTAGCCAATCAGTGACAACCTTGTATATTTAGTTGCATTAGTCTATTCTAATAAGCCAATAATGGACAACATTCTATAACGCATTTATTTTGTTTCAGACTCGGAAATGGTCAAACAAACACAGAACGACATTTTGGATATGTTGATTGGGTCCGGCTCCGATTTGAGTGAATATTTGACTCCCGCTGGTGATGTAATTGGATTTTCTAGCTACAGACCAATGGATTCCTCTATGGATTTCCTGGAAGACAACGTCTCAGAACCATTGGATGTCGCTCTCTGTCAAGGTTAGTTTGTGTAAAGTTTACGTCATCGCAGCGCGTTGTAGGTCACGTGCTTACCGCTCTAATAATAAAATATCTATAATGTGACAAAGAGGGAGCTGTCCATTTACCTTTGAATACAAAAACGTAAAACCAGACATCATTTAAATGTCTAATGTCTTATATTTTGCAGACATCCAGGTAGCACCAGATGCTTCTGCTGAGGTAGAGGTCGAGGTCGAACAGTTACAATTCACCTTTGACCCTTCAGAAACGTCCATTGAAATCCTCAAACTCATAGCAGCCAGTTCCGCTGGCGAAGGCAACATGTCCCCACTAGATAATATGTCGGAGTGGAGTGATCGCACAGAGGACACGGAAGTTGACGAACTGGTGTCACCACTTGTAAAGGCTGAGATAAAGAACAGGATCCGGAAACGCAGACAGTACGAGGGGAAGGATGAAATCACAGAGTTGTTTGTGGAGCCGGAACCTGAAAAGGTAAAACACTTGGCTTTAATTAAACTTACGGTCAAGTTATGCTTGATTACAAGCAGATATTTAACAAGCGCGGTCATAACAGGATATTCTTAACATAATTGCTTAAAATATAGCAAAAGAACAATACAGTTCAATAAAACGAATAAGTTTCATTTCAGTACAACCAGGTGTAGATATGAAACACACACCCATTACATTAAAATGATACCAGTAATGAACGGAACTTTTAATTTCACTGTGTTGTTAAAGTAATGAACGCAACTTTTAGTTTCACCGCGTTGTTAAAGTAATGAACGCAACTTTTAATTTCACCGCGTTGTTAAAGTAATGAACGCAACTTTTAATTTCACTGCGTTGTTAAAGTAATGAACGGAACTTTTAACTTCACTGCGTTGTTAAAATAATGAACGGAACTTTTAACTTCACTGCGTTGTTAAAATAATGAACGGAACTTTTAATTTCACTGCGTTGTTAAAGTAATGAACGAAATGTCTTATACTTGACAGTTGACTGAGGAGGAAGAAATGAGGAGAATAGAACGGCGAGAGAAAAACAAACTAGCTGCCCAGAAGTGTAGGAGTAAGAAGAGGAAGGTTGCGGACACCCTGGAGGAGGTAATAAGATTATATATATGTAAATAATCCTTGAAATACCAGATCGGCCTTTTGTTTCCTATGTGTATTCGAAATAAAGAAAAACGATTTTTGAAGGTAGTGATGTTGTACAGGTCAGTACATTTAGATTCGGTTGGTGCTGGACCATCATGTGATTTATATATGTATTAACTCTGAATTGAATACTCAGTATGCTCTATAAAAGCATGCACACTATGTATATATTACAATACTTACGGTTATCTCCACAGGAGACCGACCGGTTGGAGGAGAAACAGGAAAAGCTGAAGGATGAGGTTCGGCGCCTGCGCGAAGAACGTGACCACCTGACGGAGCTCGTCAATGTTCATTCCTCTGTTTGTCCAAGAATGAAATGCCCAAAGTGAACACCATCATCGGACAATCGAAACCCACCAAAACTTTGAGGCAATCACATGCTCTCAGAAACAGAAACGTGCTCCAATGCTGAACTGATTTCATATTGACGCATGCGTTGTTCTTCTGTGAGCTGTTAAGTGTTACATGTGTATACGATGCTCCTATCACATCGATTTGACGAATAGTATAAATGACGTCATAGTGACGTTTGAATACTCCATCTTTAGTAGATATGAGCATATGCTTACCATGAAGACGTACCTACTGATTTAAATACCGGAAATCTATATCTGTAGCGACATACAGAATCTGCTGATTTGAGTACCAGAAATCTAGATCGCTATGGAGAGGTATAAACGTATCTGCTTATTTGTATACCGGAAGTCGAGATCTACACAAGCTGAGGCATTACTCTAGTTTTTTAATGGACTATTTACTAACTGAATAGCGCCTATTGACCTGATAAACTAGCTCTATTTACAAGACGTTTGTTTGTAATCAGGATTTGTCAATGACTTTAAATGGCAGCTCCATATTTGACTTGATTGTGTGTTTACCAAAGGCCTGTTAGCGTTGTTAGTAGTTGTCTCCCTTGTGAACATCATTTCATTTCAACAAACATTGCGACCAGGCATTTGTAGGGAACTATCATTTGCATTCAGAATCATTAATATACTCAACAGGGAACAAAGAAGTTTGTATGAAACTGTTAACAAGTTGCTGATCATCATTTTATGCTAGATATTTCAATTCGTACAAGATATTCAGTTTTGGCCAGTTTGATTCACAAAGGGATCCGCTTAATAAAGTTTAAAAAGAGTTTGGTAAGAATGACTTATTCCTCTGTGTGATATAAAAGATGTACTGAGACAGTAAGGGACATACCGTTCAGAACGGGCTAATTAACAATTACAGTATTTACAGAATCCTCACTCAGGTTGAGGTGAAGTTTGAATGGTTTCTTTACGAGTATTAATCTGAATGTGTTGAATGTTGTATTTATATGATCATTTGTAGACTCTGAAAGAGAAAATCATGGAAGAATGATGTAACTACAGATCGAGGAATGCCTGTTTGACCAGCTTCACTAATGTCCTCAAGTGAACATATGTGTAACGTGAACATGTGTACTGTGCAAACATATGTGTAACGTGAACATGTGTACTGTGCAAACATATGTGTGATGTGAGCATGCGCGTGACGTAAACAAGTGTGTGATGCGTACCTGTGAACATGTGTACATATTGTACCAACCCATCTGTTGTCTGTTGTGTTGTTGGTATCAAGTATTAGACATACATATTTTACTAGAGAAGTACATGTTATAATAAATATGTTTCATATTTAAAATAAAAAATGACTACAATTAATTGTTTCTTTAATTTATCTTACAGTTCTTTTTACATAATAGCCAAACCCTCCGCTTCACCAATGTGTGTGGAAAGTCATTACAATGGAAATATAAATAAGTCTGGTTTTGTCTTCATCCCCATAAAGAAACCTCATTTGTATAAACAGCTTCCATATGAAATGACTAAATTGTGTCTGACTAAAATGTGACAAGTGCTACTTGTAAAGCTTTCACGACTGCTACATGTTTTAGCCACCCATGTAGTGATTTCCGGGTGAGGGACTTAAATGTGACGAGAACTTAATCTTTGCTACATATAAGCTCCCATGTAGTGATTTCTGGGTGAGGAACTAAGAATTTCTGGGTGATTACCTAAGATGTGACGAGAGCTTAATCTTTGCTGCTTATAGGCTCCCATATAGTGATTTCTGGGTGAGGAACTAAGATGTGACGAGAACTTAATCTTTGCTACTTATAGGCTCCCATGTAGTGATTTCTGGGTGAGGAACTAAGATGTGACGAGAACTTAATCTTTGCTACTTATAGGCTCCCATGTAGTGATTTCTGGGTGAGGAACTAAGATGTGACGAGAACTTAATCTTTGCTACTTATAGGCTCCCATGTAGTGATTTCTGGGTGAGGAACTAAGATGTGACGAGAACTTAATCTTTGCTACTTATAGGCTCCCATGTAGTGATTTCTGGGTGAGGAACTAAGATGTGACGAGAACTTAATCTTTGCTACTTATAGGCTCCCATGTAGTGATTTCTGGGTGAGGAACTAAGATGTGACGAGAACTTAATCTTTGCTACTTATAGGCTCCCATGTAGTGATTTCTGGGTGAGGAACTAAGATGTGACGAGAACTTAATCTTTGCTACTTATAGGCTCCCATGTAGTGATTTCTGGGTGAGGAACTAAGATGTGACGAGAACTTAATCTTTGCTACTTATAGGCTCCCATGTAGTGATTTCTGGGTGAGGAACTAAGATGTGACGAGAACTTAATCTTTGCTACTTATAGGCTCCCATGTAGTGATTTCTGGGTGAGGAACTAAGATGTGACGAGAACTTAATCTTTGCTACTTATAGGCTCCCATGTAGTGATTTCTGGGTGAGGAACTAAGATGTGACGAGAACTTAATCTTTGCTACTTATAGGCTCCCATGTAGTGATTTCTGAGTTCAAATTACTAAGAAAAAAGTTCAAATTACTAAAGTAAAGTACTATGTAATTACTGAAGTACAGTACTAACTATTGAAGTACAGTCCTAATTACTGAAATACAGCCCTAATTACTGATGTACAGTACAAATTACTAAAGAACAGTACAAATTACTGAAGTAATGTTCAAAGTACTTAAGTACAGTCATAATTACTGAAGTACAGTACAAATTACTGAACTACAGTACTAACTACTGAAGTACAGTACAAATTACTGAACTACAGTCCTAATTACTGAAGTACAGTACAAATTACTGAACTACAGTACTAATTACTGAGGTAAAGTACTAATTACTGAAGTACAGTCATAATTACTGAAGTAAAGTACTAATTACTGAAGTACAGTCCTAATTACTGAAGTACAGTCCTAATTACTGAAGTATAGTACTAACTACTGAAGTACAGTCCTAATTACTGAACTACAGTCCTAATTACTGAAGTACAGTACAAATTACTGAACTACAGTACTAATTACTGAAGTAAAGTACTAATTACTGAAGTACAGTCCTAATTACTGAAGTACAGTACAAATTACAGAATTACGGTCCTAATTACTGAAGTACAGTCCTAATTACTAAAGTACAGTTCTACATTTTATCACTGAAGTTCGGTCCTAATTACTGAAATACAGTCATTCTTAGCCAACTAGCTGCTTTGTATTGATCGGCACACGTCATCTATAGAAAACTTGGATTCATTAACACTGTACATGTAAGTAGTCTAACGTTTTTACAAATATGATCATATATTTTACCAAGTAAAATGTAGGTTATTGAGCATACAAATAATTGCACTATAATTCACTGGCCCCTGTGAGAACAACACACTTATGTTGGGTTACATGTACATAACATCTATGTTAAATATTGAATAACATACATATATAATTCTTTTCGTGATTTGCCTGTTTGTAATTGATGCAACCTTATCATCGGCAGCACAAGCAGCCAGCATCACTGGTTATAGCCACGTCAGTACTGCAACTTTCTGATGAAATCGTCTGTGACCTGTGGCTGACCCCTCACAGGTCGACATGGTATATACGTATACTTATATACTTAGACACGCATCGTCAGTAGTCAATAGTATAAAGTACACATCAGTATACCAGTTTATATATGTTTGTCTGTGGAAATCTTGGTTCCGGTCAGTACGGAATTATCAACCACAACAAAGCTTCGATTAAGAAGAAGAATCTTTTAACTACAAATAAATCCGATCTATGATACCATACTGGACTCATCGAAATGGTTTTGTTGGGGTCAGGAGATACCCGGACTGAAAGCATGTATTCTTGGGCCTTACTCTAATATTTCTTTGTAATTCATTTTCTGGGCATTTCAATGTTAATCGGTTTCTTTAATTTTAAGCTGGTAAGGCATTTCTTATCATTCCACAGACACACGGTATTATTTCTAACCACACAGTAGGGAACATCCTCAGCACGAGCAGGACCAGAGATTAGCATATTTAACAGTCACAGGGGAGGGGGGCAGGGCATTTCGTAGAATGTTTCGGCGATATGGATTGAATGCTTACGTCACCCTAACCACATTTTGACATTTACATTAATTGTTGTGATTGATATGATGACGTAAAATCCTAATCAACCTGTACATATCTATTGATATACATATCGTTAATCCAATGTTATAGGTATATCGATCCGGATCATACTTATGGAATTATAGTATTTGTAACTAAAACCATCGTCTAAGGTTTTGTCCTGATCAAAATAGTTTTATTAAGTGACGGTAGTGATCATAATACACATAGACATTCGACGTGAACATAATAACAAACAAACATATCTAGACTAAGCCTTGATCTTTTGGTTACCCAAATAATTACTATATTTCATCAGGAGTGAACAACAGCCGGAAATTAAAAAAATAAAACTTTGGAGAACTGTTCATGATAGGCGAGCTCTTCTCTCTTCTTACTTCTACTCTTCCTCACTATCCGTCTTCTCTCCCTCTTCTCCGTCATCCTATTCTCCCTTTCCGTCGTCACCCATTCCCTCCCCCCCCCCGCCCTCTTCTCCACACTAGAACTGACAATCTCCCTCTATTTCAATATTTCCCTCCCATCCTCCCTCGTTCTGCTCCGTCATCACTCAATCTTCTTTCCCCCTTTCCCTCTTTATCTCTTCCTCACCCCTAATTTTCTCATCCTCTCCTCGCTCTTTCTCCTTCCTTGCTCTCATATCCACCTCTTTCAGTCTTTTCTTTCCATACTTCTTCACTCATTCTCCTCACCCCCTCCCTTTCCTCTCCTCCTCACTCCCTCCCTTTCCTCTCCTCCTCACCATTTCTTATCCCCGCCTCCCTCTTTCTCCTCCATTCCTCACTTTTATATTCTCCCTTCTTAACTCTTTCTCCTCCCTCCTCACTCTTTCTACTCTCCTCCTTCCTCTTTTTCCTTTCTTTTTGACCTTTTCTCTCCTCCTCTCCTCGATAACTCTTTCCCCTCCCTTCTACTCTCTATCTTTCTCCTTTCCTCCTCACTATTTCTCCTCCCTCCCTTCCCTCCATTTCCCTCATTCTCCTTTCCTTTTCATCTCTCTGCCTCCCTCGTTCTTTTCTCTTACTCCTTCCTTTTTCTTCTCTCTTCCTTTACCCCCTCCCATCCTTCCTCTTTCTCCTCTTTTCTTCACTTTTTCTTCTCTCCTCATCGATCACTATTTCTCCTTCCCCCTTTTCACTCATTCTCTTTTCCTCCTCACTCTTTCTCCTCCCTACCTCCCTCGTTCTCCTCTCTTTCTCCTCTCGTTTTCTACTCTTCTCGTTCTTTTTCTTCCCATCCTTCCTCTTTCTCCTCCATAATTCTTTTTTTTCTTCCCTCCTCACGCGATTCTTTCACTCCATTCTTGCTTATCTTTCATTTAACTCTGTCAAGATGCATTCCTGGTGCTTTTTATTAATTTACAACATTTCTGCTATACAAGATATAATTTTACTGTTACAAGATGTAGCGCAGTGACATAATTTGCATAATGCCCCGGCCTCTACACACAGCAAGTTTTACGGTATACTGATATGTGTGTGTATAATAAGTGAGAATCATAAACGAATGATCATGCATAGTTTCGTTTTTTGTAATGAATCAAGAGTCCGGAGAAATATAAATACTTCAGTATGTAAGTTATAACGCAGTCGAACATTCTGGAATCTTCTTTGCCTTTGGCTGGTTCTAGTGTCGATCGATCTATATTCTGACCAATCAGCGTGCGATACGTTTGGTCTAATATTAGCCACACCTAGTGTAACCATCATGGGTTATTTCGTCACCACCTAGAAATACTGAGGGATATCCCTTTGAACGACCTTGACCCTTTACAATTTTCTGATGCAATTATCTACGGTAGCCCCCAAGTTTCATAGTGTCGAGTATATATTTGTGAATATGCCGTTGAATTCATAGTGTTAAGTCTTCTTTTTTATGTTAACATATATGTACATCTTAATACACCAAGTAGTGAAAAAGAAGTATGTGTTGCAGTCAACATGTTCGTGCTAGCTATGTGTATTACGTACTGGTATTATTGTGGCGGCCATGCGTTTCCGTCCATTTCGAATTTGCAGTCTGTATATAGCGCAGGTAACCTCGTTCGGCCTTCACTTCACGTTGCGATCAGCTGAGAGAGAAACTGTCAATACACATACCGGCTAACCTTACGAAAGCAATCGACGAATTACAAGATTTCAAAGTCGAAAGATTCTAAGTGAATACTTCTTTATTTTCGTGAGGATTTACTCGTCAAGATTCTTATCAGAGAAAATGGTTCGTATATTTGTTCAGAAGGAGTTGTGCTGTAGCGGAGAGCCGCGAGACGTCGGAGAAGGGGTTTGTTCCGGCCCCAGGGAGGTAATTGACCGAGAAAGAGCGGAGATGGCAGTGAAGGCGGTCACCCAGTTGGATGGGGATACCAATTTTAACTATAACTATAATAACTATATATCTAGTGCCAGTTTTTCCCCGGATGCGTCCTCGCAGTCTTCATTCTGTGACTCGGAGAGTGACAACGGTTCTCTGGTTATCAGCGAAGAGGCTGCTGGACCTGTCGATTCCGTCGTCGTGGTTAGTATCATATAATCTCTGATTGTTTCATAATATACTTTTTTGGCAATTGTTTTAAAGATTTAAAATCTTAATACATTTGATGCAATCTAAAGTAGTTATTGCACCACTTATTGACAACCTATATTTATACGTGCGATACGACCTATAGAGCAGGATGTATTTACGCAGTTTTGTAATACATGGTAAACTGTTTCGCTGGCTTTGTTACAAGTTTATCGGAAGATTTATAATTCTATTTTTAGAGATGTGGTCACATTCTACAAATAAATTTACGATCTAAATACTTGACTATGTGCGAAGTGATTTATCTATATGCTTCGAATGCAATGTGCACTTGTCAAAAAGAAAGTAAATTGTGCGTACGCGCATGTCAAAATGTGGCACGTCGCGACCGATCTGTGAAAACCATGTTGTTAGGACGGTGTTGACGGGAAACCAGACATTGTAGATTTAAGCCGATATATCACCATTGAGTAGTTTCTGTCAAGCTCTCAAAACATCCAGCGTGTTGTTAACTTTTAATAGTATGTGAGTACAGTTGTTTTTAACTATTCCTGTTATATACGATGTCTTTGTTTTACAGAGCAAAGAGGAGAAAAGAAAAGCAAGAAGACGCGAGAGGAACAAGAAATCTGCACAGGCCTACAGACAACGCCGTCGTCAACACTCTGGATCACAAGTCAAGGTGAGTCGCAGGTCCATTCTGAGTTCTCGTCTTTCCTTTGTAAATATAACTGAACCTGGCTATTCTATGCCTTCATAAACTGGTCCCATTTTACTAGTTATGCTTACTTCTGAATCTGATTTTTGTTTTATCTTATAACCATTGAACATTCATCTGAATAACATGTCAATATTTTTTTCATCTATAGACCCTGCAGACACTTGAGGACAAAAATCAGGTACTTTTGCAGAAGGTACAGCGCCTTGAGGAGGAGAAAAGGTTTATTGAGGAGCTTCTTAAGAACAAGATTAAGATTCCCTGGCATGTCCAATGGGCCTTGCCCCCTACCTGGCAGCATCCCACAACAACAACACCCCATCCAACAACAACAGGGATGATGGCCGCCGCCATGGGCGCCCCAATGTCCATGGGTTCCGAGGTCACGTGTGCTTCGTGATGTGCATGCAGTAAAACTAGGAATTACTGCCGCTCACTGCATACTAAGGATGAATTGCGCTTGCGCAGTATCTACGGAGACTGACTTAGGCGTCATATTCTGTGAGTCGAATGTGCTGGCCCGGGCTTGAATTCGCAAGTTTCCGTTATGGGCTTTATGGTTTGGCTTTTGTACAAATCTCGGTCATTCTGACGTATGACAACTTTATAATAGTCTCGTAAATTCCATCTTATTATTTGACATTCGGGGTCAAAAGGGGTATCCTCCGTGAGAGTAGGCCTACCCTTGTCCTAATCAGACATCGGGGATGTCCCCAGTGCCCCTTAGACTGTTTGACAAGTTCCGCTGTCTTTGAGTGTTGAAAATCAAAACTGGTCAGAGTGAAGAGAATAACTTTTACTGTGTTGACCAGCAAAGATGCGAATTCGTCATCGTCTTCAAACTGTCATCTTTATCGATCAAAAGAAATACTCCATCACAACATTATTGCATAACATTTGATTTATAAAAAACACAAGACCGTACTTCTTTTTTAGAAAATCAAAATGTTCATATATGATAATGCAAAATACTCGGAAAACGAAAGTATATATGTATCTGCGATGAAGCCCACGTGTTTTTGTACATATCTACACAGCGGTTTATTGTGGCTCGGCCGAGTCACCCTACCTCTGTTATTGTTGATGTTTTGATATCTATTTACTTTGTGAGCGGCAGGCTGAGAGAGGAGTTCAGACACTGACATTTTCAGTAGTCAATTCGTCACTAACGAATGACGAAAAAATACATATTTTATGTTTAATACTAGTATGAATAAATTTATATTGTATTCAACATATTTGTCTCTTATTTGTATAAATCCAGCGAGAAATGCTGAAACATGATGTTCATTTATATTCTTATTAAAACAGAAGACGTCTGAAATATTTTGTGGAATTTCCTTTGGGATGGTGGCACATAAAGTTGTATAATTATGTATCGGGGTCGTTTCTATATAACAACATATATCGATATTTTTTTTACCAATGATTAATTTTGAAAATTAAAATACTTCAGACAAAAGGTATCGATTTGTTTTCTAAATATTTATTTGTTTGTTCTCCTTAATAACAAAGCGTATTTTATCTGTCAGAAAAAAGTGACATAACTTCCGATCATTCAGATAGCATAGTTTTGCAAGACTGGAGTACATCTTGACTAAATGAGATGAACAGACCACATGGACTTTGTGAACAATGTTTACATGCCGAAATATTTACAATTGAAGTTCCAATTTAATCCGCCTTGCTACTTCCAGTCGCCATTTTGTAAACAGGGCCTAATCTCGAGCTGATGCGCGTTTGAAAGAGTTTGAAGTATTGAAAAGCTTCTAAACGATCATGCCCAGAACATACTCTCTAAGGATGATGTTTTTGATAAATTTACTTTCAATTATTTACTATATTTCTTTTTTGTATCACTTTCATTAATTCATAAAAGAACAAATTGATTTCTTCCCCTTCAAACTTTTTTCTTTCAAATGTTAAAAAAACATATTTTTTGAAAAAATGTTCTAGTGTCGAGATTATGATCAAACGTCGTCTGCTTCGCAAACATTCAAGAAAATAATATTTACAATGTATTTATATTGTTTTAGTTAACTTTTTTTCTTCTTTAAACTAGGCCCATCTTTAATTAATAAATATCAAGATTTTATTGCATTTTATGACGTAACCGGAAGCGCACTTGATACGAGAACATGACCCGGAAATACCTCACAACATAATCAGGACAGTAATAATAAACAGAAGTTTATCGAACATTAATAGATTATTACCGTATGTATTGAAACACTGATGTGCTAGAATACAACACAGGGTAACACTCGTTTAATTCATTGCTGTCACATTAAGTACTAACTGACATTTATGCGAAAATATCAGATTAAATGTTTGCGATCGCGCAGACCTACTTGCGTTTTACAGTTGACATACATTTGTACATGTCGGCATCAACAGTATACCTTAACTTGTGTCCTTCATCGTGCCGAAGTTTATACATAGGCGCCTTCGAGGAAAAGTTCGTGATTTAAAGCTTGTGTGTGGGTTTTTTTTATCTAAAAATTATCGGATAAAAGCATAGTGGCTGACTGGCATGTTACTTCAAAATACAAGATACAAGAATCATTATTTTACGTTGAATATATATGTCATATATAAATATAAATGGTAAAACATTGTAACAGTGTAAGGCAAACAACAAATTTTATCATAAGATACCTACGTTGGAAGGATTAAGATATAGAGGCTAAATTATCATGCTGTACAAAATTTGGCACTAAAACAACTTACTTAAAAACCAGTCCCGAGGGCAAGAGATTGGGACACAGCCTTTATTTGTAACTAGGGGGCACGAGTTTGGTAGCCGTTAATATTAAAAGACGTTTTTAGTATTGATGCTGCTCGTGACGCTATCAGTGATGTATTTTTCGCTTACAAGTTAAAGTGTTGTTATCCAAAAAGAAGAACAGTACAAATTAAAAAGTGTGAATTGTCTACAGCTCCTGTCAAAAGTCAAAAACATTCCTCTCATGTTCTTTCTCGTCACCTGGACGTTTGTAAGTTAGAACAGCTGGTTTCGCAGACGCTTAAACTATGTACACAATATATAAACAGTTATACCACAGTATTGTAATTGTCTCGGTATGGTTACGAATGCGTTCCAGGTCAGGTAATAGAGCATCAAATGTATTAAATTCAAATAAAGCACCACTTCACGACAGTCATGGATTCATATGGGTACAATGTTATTAAAATAACATTCATACAGTGCATGCAAGCTGAAAATAAGAAATCATTTGTTTAAAATAACAAGTCATCATTTCCATGAAATTATCCAAATAAATAAGATCTTTATGTCAAAACAAACTTCAGGTTTGATTCAACAGCTATACATGGTCATTTAAGGACGGCCTCCCCCATTTGCTAGATGCATGGGTGTGGTGAGTTTGTGCATAATTAATTTGTGTTTTGGGAGTCTGTGGTATGTTCATGTTTGTCTCTTTGTGATAGCGCAGGACTGATGCTGACTTTATAGTGTAATTTCACTGGAGCATACTGCTGAAGACGCATCTTATTTTACGATCGAACCTCGTTATCTCACTATCTTCAATAGCCTAGGGTTTATAATTTAAATTTGTACTATTCAACCTTAGCAGATTTAGCCTTGTGTTTAATTTCCTTCCCCTGCCACCTTGCATAGACACTTTACTAGCAAAACTTTTAAACTTTCAAGATTATTTCAGCACTGGTCGCCTATGTATTCCCCTTGGTTATCATTTACAGTTAGAACATGGCCAATTATCTCTACCAACTGATCATATACAGAAAATGTTTCTTTAAGTATTGTTTTTTTTTTACATAAATCATGGCATAGTCGACATGGCAACTTGGTACTGGGTGCCACCATTATTATTTACATGCACAGGGACTTAATTTCTAACCCTCAGTTCACATATGTGTATTATATAATGTATGATATAAAAAAATATGTGGACCATAGGATGGTAATTTGTGCCAAGTCTCTGTGCCAGGTTAAATAATTTGAAAGCTTAGAGAACAAGGCGAAATCCGCTAAAGGTTGAATGCATGAATATGTGAATACAAAATGAACGCTTGGCTAGCAAAAATGAGATGTTACAGGCTGGACAGATAATGACAACAAAAACAGGCTGAAAACATGTATGGAATGTATTTTTCTTAAGGGAGGCTGTATAAACACATTATGAATATGTAAAATCATGATGGAAGTCCATTTTACCCGAATTACCTGACGTTATTTTCAATACCTTCAGTTCATCTATATTTCCACACTGTTCTCTGTATAAGGGATAGGAATCAGTTTGTTTTTTGGGTTTTATAAATTCTTGCAACCACTTTTAAGTCATATGTATAAGAAAGGTCTGCCAAATATCTGATTCTTTGATAACTTTACTACAAATATATAGCAGGAATTGAACTTTCTATATCAACTGCACTACACTTCATATTATTTGTTGACATTTTTCTGCTACAATACATGGAGTTTCCTCACAAGATGCTGATAACCGAAAAGAGTCTGAAACCTTAATCATATCTTTTAGAATACTGTGTTTAAAAAAAATGTTATACATGTATCTCTTCGATCCACTAAACATCAACAAACAACATTTAAACCCTTCATTCCCTAAATCTGTTATTAAAAGGATTGTAAANTTCAAATCCACTAATACATAAGTTAACATAAAATTGTACTGCAGTATTTTTTGGTCTGATTTTTGACAGCTAAATAAGTCTCATCAAGGGTCATTGACCTGTCAGAAGTTGAAGTAGCCAAAGTTATTTGATTTTGGTGTAGAAGCATCCTAAAAATAGAAGAAAGTAAGGGCTGGATTTTCACGAACTCGAAGAGTTGTGCCCCTTTGTTTGCTTTCCTATACATCTTATTCTGGCAGTTTATCATTCATATTTTTATTTTTCCATTTGTTATGCACTTCATATACAACTGATGAGAATGGGAGATATTTAACAATGCGGAAAAATTCGCCAAGAAAGCTGAAAGTTACAAAAGATCAAAAGGTGAAACTTTACACCATGCAGGCCAGGTTTGAACTGTAATGTTTGTTTTACTTTCCATGTGGGGAGGATTTTTAACTGTTATATTAATCAATTAATTTTCATTTATATGGTGTCCCTGAGAATTATTTCTTATATAATTTAAAATTTGTTTCAAGTAATACTCATACTCTCTGTTTTAAACTAGGAACACTTGCTCTGTACTCTAAGTATTTGTGCAGTTATGATTGATTGTCTTCCTTTGGATAATATTTCTGTGAGTTGTGTCCCTCACATGATGTCCTCAAATTCCTTTCTGTTATATATCGGATATAGTTTGTTACTTCTATAAGTTCCAAGTTTCCTTTTAGATAAAATATGTCATGTTTAGGTGATTTTTGAGAATTGGTGGTTTTACGAAATTTGCTTACTGTTTTGCAAGGTACCAATATTTTTTATGTTTATAACATATATTGGGTGCTCCCATAGCTACCACTTTCTTTAAAATGTAGGGGCTGAAGAATCGGGGATTTTCTTTCATGTCTACTACTTGGGGGGCATTAAACAGACCAAAATAGATCTTCTGCTCCCATTGCAACACACTTGGGATCTTAAATTTTTCCTTTCTTTCTTCACTGTTCTGCCTTCCCTTATTAGTCATGCCGCCTGAGAAGCATGGCGAACACTAAGGATCAGTCTGTCCGTCATCACACGTTGCCGTTGGCGGCAGCAGTCACATATCAGTTTTCCAGACTTTTTTTCGCCACCATTTACCATATCAATTTGTAACTTTGTATGTGGCTTAATCATAATAGATTACAGATCAAGTTTGAACCGCATGCCAATATTTTCTTTTTGCTGGAGGTACATGTGTGGGTCTTCACACATTGGAAGTTCTCATAATTAACTGCTTGCCATACTTTGTTCGTTACCGCTTGCCACTTAGTATGTGGCTTTATCATAATGGATTACAGTTAGAGTCTAAACCCTGTGTCTATATTTCATTTGTTGCTGGAGTTATGGCCCTTCGCACATAGTAAATTATCAAAATAAACCTTTTTTTGGACTTATTTCGCTACCGCTTGCCATATCAATTTGAAACTTTGTTTATGGCTTTATCATAATAGCTTACAGAGTTTGAACCATGTATTAAAATGTCATTTTTGACTCGAGTTATGGCCCTTTTGCACATAGGAAATTCTCATAATTAACTGTTTTCCATATTATTTGCAACTTAGTATACATGTATAATGGTTTACAGTT